AAGTCCACAAATGTACAACTGTTTTCCCTAACAGATAGCAACTGTTCAGACAAGAACACAGCCTGAGGGGAGGACATTTGTGAGGACCTGAGTGTACCCCAGAGTTTATTGGAATTGAACATAGGTTATGATCCTCTTCAGCAGCTCATTCCAAAAGGTGAACATTTCTCAGGAGGAAGGATGTTCGTGTGGGGAGGGCTGTGGGCAAGCAATAGAATTATATTCTGCCAGTGTGGTGAGCTCAGAGGACGAAGTGACAGAAATCACTGTCTGTCAAGCAGTCAAGTCTAGCAAATGCCCTATCCCCCTTGGAGTGTGTGTGTGGCCCCCTCCATTGTAACTCTGGTTTCTTCCAGAACTTCAGGACATTTGTGGTGAGGGCTTCATGGGCTGAAATGCCAGCATAGGAAATACAATTTTTAAAGTACGGTGACATGTTTAGGAAGTAAGTAAGGTCTTTCTGCAACCTACAGGACTTAACAGGGAAAAGTCACAGCTCTGGTGACCAAGTCTCTGACTAAATGGCAGTCATAGTAATTTTTCCCACATTGGTGATCTTCAAAATCTTTAGACAAGAGGGACAACTTACTCATTATCTATAAATTCTTTCCTATTCTAATACAGTATTAAAAATTATCATGAAAAAAGCACCAGCATTTGTTTTCCTACTTTATCTTTTCGTAGGGAGTATGTGCTATTAAAAACTAAAATAAGTTAATACATCTTCCCCTGCTGTAATAAACTGTCATTGACTTGGACAAGTAAGTAAACCTATACCTCAAATTAATCTAATGTAAATTCCTATTGATATTCTATTCTTTTTTTTTCTTTTTGGGGGTTTTTTGAGACAGGGTCTCACTATGTAGTTGAGACTGACCTGGAACTCACTTTGTAGCCCGGGCTGGTCTCGAACTCACAGTGATTCTCCTGCCTCAGCCTCCCGAGTGCTGGGATTACAGGCATGCGCCAGCATTGATATTATATTCTTAGAAGGGATTTCCTGATGACCTTGCTCCTGATGTTTACTTTTAGACTGTGTAAATATCACTCCTGGGCAAAATAATTTCAGTTTTTTTCTCCTCAGTTCTGGTTTTCAGTACTTTATTCTTTCATGTCCTCTTACTCCTATTTGGCTGGGAGTTCTCTTTTCCATATTCATGCAGTTTGAGCAGCACTATCTTCTTTCACCATTCAAACATGCCGTCCTGCTGCTGTTTCCTGTTCATCTAACAATCTGCCTGTAATTTGTCTTCGTGAGTTCATTTCTACCACAATGAATCATTTGGTTCATCCATTTGCTGTTTATGAAACCTGTTTTTCCTCTTGTCTGTTTACCTTTTCTGTAGATGTGTTGTTTGGTTTGTTTCTAAGTAGCCTTGACCAAAGGACAAGGGAAAGAATGTGGGTTCATTAGTTCATTTGTGATTGACAGAAAGGTTTTTTGTTATGTTTTGTTTTGTTTTTTGGGTACCAGGGATCGAACTCAGAACCTTGTGCTTGCCAGGCAGGCGCAGTGCCAGGGAGCTAAATCCCTGGAAGAAAGTTAAAATTTTGAGTGAGGTAGTATATATTGTTCAGGCTATTGTTTCAAGACACTAACACTTCAGAGAGGCAGCACTTTGCAGTAAGATATATACCACCTGTGAATTTGGAGAAGGGTGAGATTCATAGCTTTCCCAACTCTCTGTGACTAGTTTCGTAGTCTCTCTTCACCTCAGTTTCCTTATACTTTAAGTGGAAATTATAATACCTACATGCTAGAGTTGAGGGAACTGAGTGAAATAATGTGTGTGAGCACTTAATGTGCTGTTAGAAAGTGGCAAATTTTGAACACTTGGCTGGTTTTGTTATGATGGGTGATAATTATACATGGAAATGTAACAAAGGGTTTTTAATCCATTCTGAAAGTCTGTGTTTGTGTAAATTATTAGTACAAATATAATACATATTTAACATAATTTTATATAGAACATATAATCAGCCATTAACGCAGAGATAGTTACTATGAAGACTAAAACTAGAAGGAGGAAGGAGAACAGGAAGATAAAATCTATAGTCCCTGCCTTGTGAACACTGGCATGTTAGATTGATTTATCCGTGATATTACTCTAGAATGTTCTCTTTCCAGATGATTATTAAGAGGCTAATAGAAAAAATGGTGCCAGGTACCACAGCAGCAACAGAACTTTGCTGTTGTCTGGATATTATTCTTTTCTTTGTTTTTTTTTTTTTAATGGAATGTGCTGAATGTCTATAATTTTGTTCAGATGACTGCAGAACCTGGAAAAGCTGTTGCTGCTATCGATGCATAACATACTATTATTAGTCTCTCTATATATATATCTATATATATCTATATATATAGATATATATAGATATGCACACACACACACACAT